TATTCGAAAATAGACAGCCCTAGTTAGTGCGGCGTAAGCAAGCATTTGCGCTCCGAAGTTGAATACTTTTTAGCCCCACAAAGTGTTTCACAAAGTAGCTTACAGTTACACAAAAAAACGCATTACCTTCGGGTAACAAATTAAATATTTCATGAAAGTTACACGTAAATCATGAAAACATCGGAAAATGCCTAAATGCAAAGCATGGTTATGTAGTGACAAACATGGGATTGTTTGAGATCTTTATTCCAGAATTGGTCAACAAAGTGCAGACATTGTATTCAACCATGGAGGTAGGAGTTTTTACGGGTTCTACCTCCGGAAACAATGCATAGCTAACAACCCGATAGAATCGATTTTTTTGTGTTCAGAATTAATTATCTTGGACCATGCTTGGACGTCAGTAATTAAAGGAGCGTGGACTGTCGTAAGCTGTCGTATCTCGGTCAGTCTGGTTTCTCGAATCGATAGCAAAGTTTTGCTGGATAACGTAGTCCGCCTTGATTGAAACCTGTGGTGTTACATCATGGCCATGGGCTTATAGCAAGGCTAACTTACCGAGCACACATCCGCGGTATAAACGGTAATCACACCATTGCTCGCACACTTGCTCTACCGATGACACATTGGCATTGTCCCCTACGAAGCTACGCTCGTCCCGCTCTTTCCATCTACACCACATCAATCCCATGGCATCGGTATACGCTGACCAGATTGCGTTTACTAGCAAGTGAGTTCCTGGGGAACACCACGGTTTTTTTGCTGTGTCAGCTGACTTGGTAACCGCTGTGTAATGCACAGTATGCCAAGCAATCGGGAGCAATCGATGCCTGAGAATCAGATATGATCCCTCAACCCGCAATCCAAACACGTACTTCATTCACTCCAGCAATAATGACACAACACACACGCACCCACGTCGGGGGCTTCGTCGCCCAACCATTGATTACCAATCGCTGGCCCATTTCATGAAGAAAAAAAAAGCAGAATGAAGGAGACAATATGATGGTACAGAATTATGCTGTAATGATTGAGGGTGACTCTGTAAACTAGGGTTGCATTCCATCCAGCGTGTTACCCTTGACACTCCCAAGTGGCGGAAAATGTTGCTTGCGCCGATACTCTTGGGTCACATCGCTCGAACGGCTAACGTTTGTATTGTGCATACACACAATTGCAACCGCTATAGGAAACGCGAAAATCTTCGAAAGGGTTGCCGAATTTACTGTGAAGATTCGTGAGCATATCTTCGGGTCAATACTCTCGGTTCATGCTCGATCTCCAAAACAAAGCTTTCAAATGGAAACCATTCTTCAATGCATAGAGAATCATTTGCTATTCATGCATTTTGTTCGTTTCCAATAGTAACACCAAATCAATATTAGGTTTTGCCCTTAATAATAATAACTCCACTCAAAATCCAAAGAAGAATGTTAATACGATACATGATGAATTATTCCTCTCTTCTTGAAAATGATAGCATAGCCTACTATGGGCGAAACAGTTTCACAGGATGTTTGATCCTATTACATATATTAACTTACAATCAAGTATGATATTTCATTAGATTTGGTATTTTGTTTTTGAAGTTTTGCAGATGATCGTATACGCCTTAAAACAATCTCGTGGAAAGGGCTTCATCTCCATCGTCTATACGCAAATGCATCGTCTTTACTACTGCACTTTTCTTACTGCGCGTATACGAACTTGTCTTAGCGCCAGCAGCGGCGGCATAGAGTGCTGTTTCACCGACTTGGAGCTGTATGTCTCGCACGGCGTGGGTAGGTCTATGGGACACCCCGTACGAGACGTTACCCGATCACTAAGGAAGGAAACGCCAATCGATTTCTAATGACAGGGCCTCGTGCCTCCGACTATATTTTCCTCCTTCTTCCCCATCCCTGGAATTTCTCCATGTGTGAACATCCTCCCTCGTCCGTGTTTGTTTGCCTTGCTTGCGGAGCCGTTGGTCCTAGAGTGTCCTGAGTACATAGTTACCGGTCGCCCTATTGCACTACTGTAACTGCGTATGGGTCGCCTTACACCCTGAACCAACAACGGCCTGTCATCTCTGACAACAGAAAAACGTCCAACCCTTCGGCGTGCTTTTTTTCCCAAGAGGTAGAGAACACTTCCTATGGGGCGTGTAGGGTACACATGGGAGGCGGGAAGTCAGTCCGTGGTATCTTGGAATATTGGGTTTTAAACATCTTACCTGCTCTTGTGTCATGTAAGTAACGCTGAAACTATCTGGGTGAGATTTGAGGTCCTCCTCCCTTTCCTGTTAATATAATTAAACCAATAATCTGTTCTGAATAGGATTGGCCGCAAAAGCCTTGAATCTTAAAAACACAGTTACACGAAATTAAAAGCGGACAAAGTTCCGAAAATGTACGAAATACACCGTGATTGGAGGACAGAAACACTTGTGGAGTGTGCATATGTTTTGTCCGTATTCAAAGACTGACGACCATGCCAGATGTGTGTGTATAACGTCTTCCTTTAGCCACTATTCCTGATTCGTCTCCTTCATCGCGTCTGATTAATTCTGCGAATGCCATCCATCATGGCTCTTAATATGCGTGAATTCGCTCGCGCGCCGCTACCGTCTTTGCACGAGAGCTCGTTCACTCTGTCACGTGGTGACCCCCCTCCCCCCATACACACACACACAACTTTGTTCTCAACATATCCCATAAGGTTTGTACACGAAAACCTCCCGAGGACTTGGCTTAGGTCCTTGGGTTTACTGTTGTCGCAAAACCTCCATTGTCCCAAGTCCTCAGTTGTATAACAAGATCAGCCTTACATACACGTGTGGGGAAGACCTTTGTTTAAGGAACCCACACCCAATTTTGTTTTTGTCAATCCCGTATGCCGTCATTGTTTTGACTTTGGGTAGATTTTCGGTTTACTTAAACGAGTGGTTTGATCATTCAGTTTCAACTACATTGTATTAAGAATTTCAGATAAGATCATCTTTTTGTTAATCAAACATCGTTGCTTTCTTGCACAATATTCTTTGATTTTTAAGTAATAATCAGAATGAGAGTTATTCATATTACACCCACGTTTGTACGCTTAAAATGGATCATTTTTGCTTTTTTTTGTTTTGTTGAAATACGTAGGCCTACATGAAAGTTACACGCGTAATTTTGCTTTCATTTGTTTATTTTTTTTTACCGTGAAGCCATTAATGACTTTGATGTGTATGGTGTTGGCATTTTTTAATAGATACTTCTTACACTTTCACCGAACCTACCAATACCTCGTATTTTATCCTAAGGACAGTCTTGAAAATACACATTATGCGCGATTGCGTTACACTGTACTTTAGATTTAGTTGGCAAGATGTGTTTTCAAGCGAACATTGTATGCATGCCCTCCCGTGACATTTAAATATTTTTCTGTCAATTCACAATTTTTTTATGCATCCCTTCCAATTTTCCAATCATAATCTTCATTCGTTCATTTTAGCCGCACATGATTTCCCTTCCTCAAAACATAAGAATCAAACACGAAGTGTAATTATTCTAGTGTCGAGCTTGGCCATGACCATGTTCCGCAATGATTACCGTGAGCTAGCACGAGCGAGGACCCTTTGTCCAGCGGTGCAAGCGTGCCTGTGTTCGGCCCGAACTCACCGCTAGACGCTGGCATGTGTCCTGTCGCTCGTAGCTCTTCATTTTCGCGCGTCAGTGGTGCGGCAAATCGAATGCACCGCAGCGACTGACAGCTTGTTTCATTAGCTGGCTGCGCAGTCAGGCTCTTCGCCGCTGTAATCCCATGAAGGTCGGAGTCTTTGTGTCAGAAGCGAGGAATCTCTGCCGGGCTCATATGCAAGGCTAACTCCAGGCCATGCCCCAACTTACCATCGCTCCCTGTGCCGTCCCCCAGTCTGATTTCCATAACCTCTGCTTAACATTACACGCGCTATATACGACTATCCAAGCAAACCCCCCAAGGGCCTCCAGCAAAAATCAGAAAATTAACGTCATCTCGGAAGCTAAGCCGGTGTTCAAGGTCGAGCCGTGATTAAAATCGTCACCGAAAACTGAGAGAATCTGACTGTTTATCGGACAATTTCTGTGGTGGACAACAGCTCCGATAAAGTGCATTTGCTCTTTTCTAAAAATTTTAAACGACGTATAATATCCGGTGCAGGAAGGTCTACCCGGGTTGAAATGGCGATGCACTTTTTTAAACGAATGAGTGCATTCCTAACACTGAATTATTCGTTGTAGTCGTGGAACGCAGTTCCAAATTAATTTGATCTAATATTAGATTGTAGCAGGGTTCAAATTCAATTACGTTTGGCCGGTGTGTTCCAACTCAGTATAAATAAGCCTAATTGCTGCACGACCAGAACACAGTCTAATTCTTTCTTGAATAACGTATGGCGTGCACCTACTTACCTTAGTACTGATTTGGTTTTGGTCAATCAATTTATCACAATACGAGATCTTGTGATGAGACTACCCCTATTGTATTCCACTGTACGACACAATTACGGGAAATGTACAGAAATCTAAAAAGAAATTTGGATTCGAGATACGAATCGCAAGATTCATTCGGTATTTTGTCCCACAGTGCCGCGCATGGCCCATGCGCCGTCACGACTTTGTCGGTTACTCCTCTTCTCCTGCTCATTCTGAGCCGACCTTATGCTAAAGTTCCCTTTAAGTTAACAAAGTCAACTTGTTGGTGCTGATCACAGACCTATGCCTAGTTACCCTGATAATTTGTACGTGTAGATTACGTGTGGTGTTAATGACATGCAAACACAGTGTAGAAGCAGGCTAGTCCCTGGCCCCTCCTCCCCCCCCCCCAAAAAAAAAAAATATTCCCTGTCGCTAGCAATTATAAATCCTGCATCACGTGCGATATGACTGGTATAATGCTTTCAGTTTTCGTAAGTAAACCTGAGTTTGACTTCACCTTATAATGCTTAATTTGGTTCTTTTCCCACTTGATCAACCCTCCTTCCTTATCCCTAACAGGATCCCAGTCGGAGGGTTCAGAATTTCAACGGTGTACCAATGGTTGCCTCAAGTCCTGTCAGGCACGATTCACAGATGCAGGGTAACCAGGTTGAAGTACAGAGCTACCAGCCACCATGGAAGGCCCTGAGTGACTTTGCGCTGCAAAGCGATATCGAACAACCGCCTTTCCAACAACTGGTGAGTCTTCCACGAATCTCTTGTTCTGTGTACGAAAATCGGGCGCCATGTAGGCTACGTCTGATAACTAATTCATGAGTGAAATTTAGAAAAAAAATACCAACATTATTGTGTGAGCAATTGTAACATCAAAAACAAACATGGTGGTTTCGAGTGAAAAGACCGACGTATTCGCGTATGCGGACCAGAAAAGGTGATTTCAAACAATGTGGGCATTTTTCCAAGTTGCTTTTGGGTCACCCTATCATTTGATGGTTCTAAGACGAAGTAAATTACACATTCTGGAAGTAGCAAGTATATATCTCTTGATCACCGTCTTAACCAATTATTATTAAACAATAATTTATAGAGTGTAAGAGTATAAGAAAGTATTCAGAGAATAGTATTAAGTAGATATCGACACCATAATCAGAATCACTATAAACATGTCTCGAAAGTTGCATGATATTTTTTTGTGCAAACTGTTATCTGTGGTTGAACGTTGCACTTAAAGATCGGCCCAATCATTGGACACGTGGACTCACCCTTATGTATTTCTCCCTGAAACTTGTTTGGCCTTTTGGGGGTTTGGGCTTATAAAAAGTACAAGCGGGGGGATTTAAATGACAGTCCTTCGGATTTCAGGAGGATTAAGGACGCTCGAAATAACTGTGAAATTGTCTGAAGAACTAGACTGCCCTTGTTCGGCGGTGGTGGTAGTGAGCAGGACTCAGAATGATTTATACAGATCGCGGTCGGTGGAAATAATGAATAGCTGACGTCTTGGATCCGAATTCGTGATTTTGCTGCGTAACAAAGTTGTTGTCCCAAGAGTCATACTTCATCCGGACTCAACGACTTTTTCGTACATTTTCATGAGGGGGTTTTCGTAAACTAATACAATGAGCTCGAGGAGCAGGTTTTTGACGTGTGAAGTATCACGATCCCGGGACGTGAGTGTTGCTTGAATTGCGTCACTTGTTGCTGTGGCTGCGGATACCTTGAATTTTCACGAAATGGCCGTCGATGTGTCTCTCTTCGAGTGGCTTTATAATGCCTGACTGGAGAACTGTCACTGAAAGAGAAGCTGAAAAATACTCGCCTTTCTTAACGTTAGCACGTGTGTATCGGATAACTGCTAAGATAGAATGTTCAGGGACTACTTTGTCAGCGTTCAGTCGCACCAGATGGGTGGGCCGTCACACCCGCTGTGGGATTTGACATCCATTGTTGGTATCGAGCCGTTGATCTGGACTTTCTTGGCGGGAGAATACTGGTTGTGTAACAAACCACCATATAACTTGTTGAAAGTTGACCGAGTAAGAATATATAGCAAGGACCGCCACACATTGTCTCATTATTATGTACTACATCAACTTCAGTCTTTGAACATCGACATTATAAATGAAAACCTTAGTCTTTTTTTTTACAAACACAATTTGTTGCGCGTGCGCAATTAACATGTATGTGCGGATTCTACAGAAATCAATCCAAAAGTATGTGTGGGTCTACATGCAGAGCCGCGAACTATATCAATGGATGTGCATATAGGCCTACGTAAAAATACATTTGTCAGAAATTCAGAATTTCTTGTAAGAAATTCAAATACAAATGTCTTACTTATTTTTCCATCGTCAACAGGATTAGTCTCGCATTAGAACAAATTGTCATTTATTTTCTTGTACCGCTAGGCACTCCTTCGAGTAGCTGAAAGAAGCTAACTTACTGCAGATTAAAGCTTAAGTTCCGCTAGTTTTAGTCACGAATGCATTAAGCCGGGTCGTTTGCAGTTCCAATGATGAATCAATGTTAATGAATGCAGAAACGAATTGGAAACCCGAGACGTGGACAAATTCAAATGGCTGATTAATTTGAAACCTAGCCGGGTAAATCACTTCTACCTCTTTCTTTTATTAGTAAGGAAATGAATATTGCAATTCGCTTTCGATGAAAAGTGAAGGTAAATGATCTTCCTAGGAGGGTTCTTACGGGTCACCAAAATCCTCGCTGGCCGAGTAGGCCATTTTGGTTGGGGGATGCTTTTTAAAAGAAAACATAACGATCACGTCTTCGCAACTTAGAATTCATTTGTATGTTATTATGACAATATGACAAGGTACTATGAATATTATTGCTTACGTGCAGCGATTTTCAAACACGAAATGCTTCAGAAATATTAGGCCAAGTAAACAAAAATAGTTTCTCATCCGGATTTTTTTTTATTCTTCCCCAAGATGGCGGATTTTTAAAGATAGCGAGTGGATTTTTCCATTTTATGGACTCTTTTGCTGATACTTTTTTCAAAAGGAGCCGTCACCCTTTCTACCGGATTTTGAACTTGCACACATAGCTACAAGTTTGCTGGAAACACATGAAATATACACAAAATATTGCAAAAGGACGAGAAACTGGTTTATTTGTTTTACTAGGCCTAAAATATCAAAGTTTGAGTTAGTGGGTTAACAGAATGTTTTGTTAGGCCTATTATTAACAAAGAAATCGTTTAACCGCGTTTATTTGCCATTAAAAAAACATGTGTGTTTATCTCCAGTGAAGATGACTCAATTCGCTATTCATGCATGCTTGACCGAAATAAGCTCAGCAGATGGAATAAAAGCGGATTTTCTCTTTGCGTCTGCATTCTTATTCAAATATTGCCATAATATTTAATCAGCAAGGCTTCATTCATGCACAGACTTTCCCCGTTACTCCATCCGTTCTGTTTATTTATCCTGGCTGTCCTCACTGATCGGGTTATCTTCTTGACCTTCTTAAATACAAAATGTGATTTCTGGCAGTAGTGAGCGCCTTCTGATGTCCGCCCCTAATCCCTCTCGCGGGCCTGAAGTCGCCCGGGTAATTTCAGCAAACATGTCCGCAGATTGAAAGCGAACGAGGGGACGACAGGCAAATTAACAGGCCGGGCCACGCTCTCGTCTCATCACCCCGCATCCGTGCTCAGTTTTCCCCCGGCCTTGTCCTGCTGTCCCGACCCGTCGTGTCATTGTGGTGCTCTTGCTCCCTGTTCAAGCATTCGGTGTTCATTACTAGCTAATTTTCACCCGAACGGGCTCGGCGCCGTAGTGTGAGGCTAATATGGCAGTCCGTTTGTGTCAGTAGATGATGTCTCGCCTCATCAGGTCGTGTTTGTACTCTGTCCCCTCAGCCTTTCAATTCGGCTTAAAGATCTCTCGCCTTGACTCAACTCTCTGTCGCCCTAGCTCTTCATGGAATGATTGAGTCTGTGCTGTCGTCCTATTGTTCCAGGATTCAGTCAGCGTACATACGAAAAGCCCCCATCAACGCATCAGAGCGCGAGATAAACAGAAAAAAAATACAGAACATGCGCACGACCCTCGATTTTGAATCTTATTGTCTTAAATTACTGAAACATTGGTTCATTTTTTGACGCCACTCATGGGCGTCGCCAGGATTTTTTTCTAGAGGGGGGGGGGGGGGCAAAGCACATTTTCCCCCCAAATCCCTATATTTTCCAGCATTTTCCCGATTGGTCATTTTTTCGAAGGTGGGCAGGGACATTCCCCCCCCCCAACCCATTAAATTTACAACAATATGACTTCGCGTCTCTTTTTCTTTTCTTTTGTCTCTTTTTCCTCCTTTTATATATTTTTTTTACTTGTCGGGGGGGGGGGGCAAGGGCGGATCCAGGGGGGGGGCCAAAGGGGGCCATGGCCCCCCCCCCCCAAAAACGAAACCATTTTTTTTTTTTTTTATGTGACATCGCAATAAAGACAGGCAATGAGTACACCACCATCTTTTCTTCAAAAAACATTGGTTAAGGTGGTCAGAAATTGCCTCAGATCGCACCACAGAGCATCTAGAATCCAAAAAAATTTCGGGGCCCTTAAGCGGGCCCCGAACCCCACGCCGTAATTTTTTGACCCACTTTTTTGGGGGACCAAAATTTTTTTTGGCCCCCCAAAAATTGTGTTCTGGATCCGCCCTTGGGGGGGGGGGGGGGCAAGCGCCCCCTTGCTCCCCCCCCCCCCTCGCGACGCCCATGACGCCACTATAGACATGATTGCAAAATACATGCAGAATGGTGGGGGAAATGAGCGAGTTTCTACTGGAAGCATGTGTTTGAACTGGATCTATAAAACTTGTTTTTTTTCTGATGCAATACAGCTCAAATCCTAGCTATGGCAAATCAACATAGCCAAAAGGAGAAAGCGTCCGAGTGCTGTTATTCATCCGGCATTACAGCCGGAACTCTACGGAGCGTCCTCTGGGTTCAGTGCGGGATTTTGTTTGGTTGGTATTCGGTTCCCAGAGTCGAGGCCTCGGCTACCGGATGATTGCAACTCGTTGGCGGGTCCTGCGCTCCATCATGTCCGGAGGACATGATCTGCACATCCCGCGCTTCTCTCGGACTTTTTATTGTCTTCCCTCCCTGTTCTCTTTCGCGCCATTGCTGAAACCTTCCAAGCAATATTCAAAGTGGGAAACCCGATAATGAGCGACCAGGCGGAAATTGCTGGGTCCAATGTCGAAAAGTAACCGCTACAAAAAACCCTCTTTCACCGATTGTGGTCTTAGTGTGGCACTTCCGAATCTAGCGTTGTGGAAAATCACTACGAGAGGGAAATAATACGGATGTGCAAAGTCAGCCCCGTCGGGGTTCGGCCCCGGGGAGGGAGGTTGAAACTGAAAGCTCTCTTCGAAAATTTCCTTAAAGAGTTACAATATAACTTGACATTTTCGTGTCAAGAAATCAATGTCAGAACCTGCACATTCGATGCCAATATTAGAATAATGGATTAACTCTTCGATCAGAATACAATACCTATGTCGCAGTATCACCAACACGAAAATCTAGAACGTGGATTATTCTGAATGGATTATTGGTAGAGATGTTTTAAGATATCAAGATCACTGGACTTCCGGTTTGATATTTACATCATGTCTTTCTGCATTTTCGCTCTGCTAAGGCTGCTAGTTGAATTTCAAATCACAGAGGACGATGGCAGCATTTGGCACAGTCATGCATTTGCTTTGATTTC